TAGCAAGAGATTTCTTTTGTTTGTTTAGCTGATGCTTTATGTCTTGTTTTTCTGCGTTTACTTAATGCCGATTCTTTTGCCGCACGTTACATCGCGTTCCGTTGCATTGTTTGTCTTTTGTCTTTTCTTTGTGCTTATATCACGAATGAAACCCAGGTAGGCCTGTGACAGATGGGTCCATGAAAAATATTCGGTTGACGAAAAATACCAAGTACGAGCCACTCGATAATTGACTATCTGGGAGAATTTTTACTGCTAGCCACAAGAAGCGCCTGAGTAGGCGTTTTGTGTTACCTTTGCTCAATACACGCGTGTCGATTGATTTCGGCTTGCATTGGTTATGGTCGTGTCGAGCTTTTTGCCACACTATATCCGGCTGCATCACTACCAAATGTTGCCGTTTATGCTATCAAGTTACTCGAGTGAGTCGAGTCAGACACATATTTTTATTATTATACAGTATATAAAGCTATAATCCGCCAATTTCAATCTTCTCTACTTTCTTTATAAAAAATTTTATTGAAATAAAAGTTCCAAAATATTTGATGAGCCGCCTATGATACTACCGTTTTGTACGTGCGCACATGGCTCACTTACCACTTGGCGACTTAAATTCATTTTGAGACGATCTAAATAATGTTACTATATAAAAACCTCCAGATTTCAGGCATAAAATGTATAGGACCCGCTTTGTTGTTTTTATTGGCTGGCCTACAACGCCCCGAGACTTGATGCCCATTTGGCGTCTTGCTGTTAATCTACGATTTAAGCAAGTGACGTTTTTGACAACACGTACAGGGGGTGGTAAAAAAGTAGCCCCCAGCGAAATGTGGCACATCTGTATCTTTTCAATATCAACGAGGGTAACGCCAATAAATATTATGTATTTGCGCATATTTCTTTTGTTTTGAGAGTCAAGTGATAAAAATTGTGATCCAGTATAACGTCCAAATTAAGAGAATAAAGTGTATTTGTAGCACTTTTCGTAAAAATTCTTTCTGATTCACAGATAATTCTTCAGAAATGCAACCTACAATTTGAACAATGAAATAACTAACTTGATTTTGATTTGAATTTGATTCATATGTAAAATTGTGTTTTAAGGATACTAAATGACATGATACAGTCCTCTGAACTTTGGATGTTTGTGTGGTGATAAAAATGTACTCAAAACCCACCTATAATAACGAGTTATACCTACAAATTTTGCGATATATCTACAATTTATTAACTTTAAAACTGCCCATACAAATTTGGATGCAAATGCTATGTCCTTATATAATTAAGTCGACTGTGTTTAGAGAACATTCATTGCATTACGCATTGTTTTTACTAGTTTGAGTCTTCATAGGCCTGTTTGTATTTAATTATATATTATCTTTTGGGGTATTATTACATAATGTAAAATATTGGGCGCTAAGTATACAGCAAAATTAATTGTATACAGCAAAACAATTCGAATGGTTTTTCTCACATTCTATTGCTCTAATCACAAGTTTGACTCACAAAGATATGAAGCTGATTCAATATAGACAACCGGACATGATTTGCTAGTGCCTTCTACTCGAGTTCTCTTATAATTCAAACAACTGAAGGTAGTACTTTTTATGGGGCGTGCTACTTTTTTTGACCACCCCCTGTGCGTTGACCGGAAGTAAAGTTTTTGTTTTTCACCAATTACAATCCTTTGACGCTATTCTTTGACCCAGTCTTTCGACGTTATTCATGCCGTAATAATAAAACTGGTAATACGCGCACGTTGAGATTTTGTGTGTGAAAGTGAAAATTAGTGACTTTCGTGAGTTGGCATGCAGATCCGATCGATTGACAAGTAACTTACGATATATAATTTTGAAATCAGAAGTGTGAATTGGATGTTTTTTATGTCCCGTAGACTTGTTATGTCTTGTAGACATGGTTGTAAAGGCGGAAAGATAACTTCATTCCTTCCCTATATTCTGCTGTACGCGTACATTAATTTCTATAGCATTTTAGGCCCAAATGTGACAACAGTTTTCGTGCGAAGGCAATGCAAAATTTGCAAACTTTGAGATAGATAAATACATAGATAGTTTAATAAAAATTACTTTGCAACTAGGAACTGAATGTTATAAATTAGTTCAGTATATAGTTATTATAGGTTTATAAAATTAATCACTAGAGAAAAACAACTGAACAATCGCCGGGGAAGTGGTTTCGCCCTTGCACAAAGGAACAAGGAACATGGTTTCACCACAGAAAGTTACTTTACTAAATAAACTTAAAACAATTCCGCCTTTGTTGTGAATTTTTTACTTTTAGCGGTTCACTGATTTTTTACCCAAGTGCCACTCGCGTAGTTAAACTCTTATATAGGTAACTCGATCTGATTGGCCAATTCTTTAACTAACTATATACAGAGTGAGTAAAAAAGCTTGTGCGTAAATTTGCTGCATGGCAGCTGTTATTCACACGAACCTATAAAATGAATAATATTCATAACAAAACTTGATTCCTTCAGGAGTGGAAATGCCACTTATAATTGTGCGCTATAACAACTGTATCCATGCAACTGCGGTTTGTCGAACACCATGACGCTATAGGTCAGTTGTTCACAGCAAAATTTCTTATGATTAAGCATGTCATTTTTTTTACATATACCTTTATTTACAATCTGGTGAGATATATGTCTATTCCGTGTTTCATATACGTATACAGGAAATCACGCCTATATGTCTAGCCTTCCTTGTTTGCAAAATAAATATCGTTACGCCAGTTAAGGTGATCTATGAGTTATGCACTACAAGCAATTTTTTTAAATCATACGAAAGCAAGGGAGTGTCGAGTGTAGGCGTTTCGTTATTGATAAAACTATACTTTACTCGTAACCACTGTAACGTTTACAAACAGATCACAATTATGGATTTAACAAACATGTATTGAACAATTGCAATCAAATTGGCTAAGCTACTCACTTTATATGAGTAGTGAAAACAGCTAGCTTGTAATATACAGCCGGTGGAATTTGTTATAATTTCATGAACACTTTATATCATAAACACTTTATATGAACACTTTTTATCATTATACACATGCAGTTCTTGCTGTTGTTCGAAAGGTGAACAAAATTATCCTCCGGATAATTGCAGTCGTAAAGATGCTTTAAAAAGCTATAAAGCTATAATACATGCATATACCAAATTTATATTTATTAAAAAAGCTACACTGATGCATCATATTTATATCTATTTTAAAACTATTTTAACTTTAAAATTGTGAAATGCAATCATCGCCATGCTAAAGGCTACTACATCTACGTTTCATTTCGCTCTGGTCGTACATGAGTAGGACTCAAGCTCATGGTAAGAAAAACGGTAACAAAATTCAAGAGAATACATGAAAGATGAAAAGAGATATAGCATATATTGTAATGATATACTAATTTTTACTGAATATTAAGTGTATATAAGATTAGTGGCTTTCATATGTAGAAAAATCCGATTCCCAAGGAGGTGACGACATAACTTTGAAATCTGAAGTGGGACCGGATTTTACAATACTATTTTCCGCATTTCACAACATTTCGCAATCAAAAAATTGCGAATTCACTAAACCTAAAATAAACATATTGCATATATAAAATAATTCCACGTTTTTTTCTAAGTTTTTACTTTTTGCTGTTACTTTTTACTCAGAAATTTACTTCAGTTCAATATGGTTTATTCTACAATTTGCATGTATAAGATTGAATATATCCAAATACGGAAAACCCATAGAGGTTCTGCAGTATATTGTTCAAAATGTCGCATCAGTCAGACAAAATGGTGGATTCTTTTGACTAACCCGGCCTATGGATAAAAGTCAGCCGGGAACCTTCATTTACAACGACCCCAAAGTACAAACCTGACGAATATGTCCATTGTGTGTATCATGCATACATGCAGGAAATCATGCGCGCATCTAGCCTTATTTCCACAAAAAATATTGCCACGGTAACACTTTTGAGAAACCACCGGCAAATAAAACGATTTTCTATTTCATACGCCGGCACATAAAAGGATTTTCCTCAAATATTTCCTTGTAAAAATATTAGCCCGTATATATTCAATAAAATTGCTTTCTAGACTTTTAAAATCAGCCGCGACACCAACAATAGCTTCTTTCCGTTCCCAAATATTTTCATTCCAAAATATTTACGTAAATCAATTAATAATGGCTGTAGGACTGGATCCTGGTCCTGGCCCTCTTAAGGAACTTTGGCTTTTCTTGACAGCATACAAAATAGTCAAGTCAACACTTGGTCAAGAACGCGGAAGGAATTTGTTCTATTGACTTGAACTTCTGTTAATATAGCTAGTTTCGGATATTATTGAGCACATATCCTAAAAATATTTGTCATTTTTATGCTTGGTGTAACTGATTTTTATGCTTAGTATTACTTTATAAGTTTATGCAAATGTTTTCATAAATCATAAAATTATTAAGTTTATAAAACACACGCCTTTGCATGGCAAAGGTCTTTATAAATCTATAGTATAAGGGGTAACTGTAGCTTCATTATATTAGCTCATTTTTTCCTCGCGGGCTATTTTTGTCGATTTCAACGGTTCTGAAAAAAACAAAAATTTAAATTACGCGCATCTTTCATAAAGTGTATATAAGCTTTTAGCTTGCATTCTTCTGACTAAGCGCGTCAAGAATGCAAGGTGGAAGCTATTTACCTGGTCAGCGCAAGTCGAGTTTATATGAAACACCACCTGACATGCAGCTATACTTAAAACTGATTCAGCAGAGCGAAAAGAAGCTAATTTTGGATTATTAGAAGCTAATAATTCCCTAATTCCATGGTAAACGGAACCTATAATTAAGCTTCTAGAATATTAAACCACTGAACAAAATTGACAAACTTTATTTATTGAAGGAAGTGATTTTTAAACATTGCATGCAAGCATTGCATTGCGATAATACCTTATTTTTTACTCTCATAGCGCACACTGATTAGTCACATATATAAGGGCATCCTGCATGGTTTGGAGGATCAGTTAGGCTGAATCGTCTTCACAGTCGCACAACAAAATTAGAAGAAGAAACAAAAATTATCCTTGATACTTTTCAGGTGGCTGCATACAGTATGGGTAAGTGGAAATTTCAAAATCAAAATTTTGATTAGCCGTCTGATGTTTTATTAAAAATATTAATGCTTCATTGTAATGCTCTTATAGTTGACCCTGTCCAATTCAGATTATTTCCATACATTTTCCTTGTTTTTGGAACTGTGGCTTTTACCTATAAACCATTACCAGGTAATTAAACTTCTAGATTTCAAGATTTGAATTGTTTAGTTCACTTGACGCTATAGCTACTTTCCCTATTATCGTTGTTCTTATTATTCACGCCTTAATTATGAATGTTCTCAACTTGATTACTTTCATATGGGACAAATGTCATGACTATATAGATGCTAAAAAATAATTGAAACTTTAAATTAAGTCTATAGTTTATATATAGCTATACCTATAGTCATCAATGTACTACCGACCACAGTACCGACCCTGTCTTTACACTCTTGTTTAATTTTATCTAGAATAGAAATAACACAAGATCTAGATGTCTTTCTTCGGAATTTGTTTTATTTTGTATTTTCCACTGTTGTAGAATGGAAGGAATTTTGCATGAGTACACGCTTATCTGTATCAATTTTTAAGGTCGCTTATGTTTCTTGTGCATGTTGACATTGTAACGTTTACATGGAGTAATTAAAACTAGCATCAATCTGTTTCTCCAATTAAAAAATCATTGAGATACCAACGGTTCAGCCGAAAGGACGTAACATTTATGCCAGTTATCTACGAAACCAATGTCAAACAAAATGATTTCGTGAAAACAAAATGATTAGAGGGTACTTAGGTAATGAAAGCAAATTAATTAGCTTTTCTCACGATGACGAATATGCCGCCATTTTTGGGGTACTTTTCCTTAAAACTGCAAGTGCGAGACCTCATAACGGCCACAGTCTTTAATTTTAGGCTGGAGTTATTCTCCCAATGGTCTGTTGATTCTAAAAAAATTGCTTTTCATGTTGTTATGACTTTTAAAACCCGTTTGAAAAAATTGAAAGTACCCCAAAACGTCATCGTGAGAAAGGCTAATTTATTCATACTATATAGCCAAAAGTATAGGCGGCCATAAATTTGTAACTTGTTGAAGAGCCGGAGCTTTAAAATGTTATTGATTTATATTATGAGTGAACAAACGGCGATTTCTTGATGAGTAGGCATATATAGGGGGATATAATAACTATTTCAGCAATTTCACAAACCTTTTAGCAAATTGTACTTCATTTTAATAAGAGAGATGATTGTATTTTCTTTTATGTTAAAATACGTACATATTAATCTATTCAACTTTAATTTGCCAGGTAAAGTTACACGAATGAGAGTCTATTTTAGAACTAGAACCATTTTAACAACAACAACAATGGCGGGAAAAGTTTTGAAAATTTTTAAAATTTGACTCAGAACTGACCGGGTTAATATAACGTGTAAGGTTAGTGGCTTTCATGAGAAATGAGATCTGATTCAGTAGGAAGTGAGGATATAACTTTGAAATCAGATGTGGAAACCGGTTTTTACAATACTATTTTTTTCGCATTTTACGATATTTTGCAACAAAAATTTCAAAATCACTACCTAAGGTTCCTTAATTTAACTATCAGTGTATGATTTCCTTAGTTACCTAGACAAAAATTCTAAATACGGCAGAGTCTTTAAACTTTAGTGCGTCAAGTAAAAGAATAACACTTTAATGTTAATCATTTTTTATTGAAACAACTTGAGCCGACATCTAATCAAAATAGTTATTTGAAATTTTTATTTTAATATTTCTACTTACCCATACTGTTTGCAGCAACCATGCAGAATGATTAATAGAATAATTTTCGTTTCTTCTTACAATTTGTGCGTCTGAGAAGACCATGAAGTTCAACTGACTCCCCCAAACCAGTTTGAACTTATTTTAATTATGTGGCTACGTTACCTAAGCTAAAATAAAAATGAAGTATTGCTGCAATGCAGTGTTTGCATGCGTTGTCTAAAAATCACGTCCTTTAATGGTTGAGTATTCTAGAAACTATGTTGGAATTTGTTCTATTTTGCATAAAATATTTAATAAACCTGGTTTCCATATGACGCCGACCTGAAGCCGACTCGATGTCTGTAATCATCCAAGGAGAAAATGACTCTCAGAAAGACAAAAGATTGCGCTCATCAATATTCACCGACAATTATACTTTGTCGACGTCGGCGTAATATTGGCAACCAGGCTTCATATTTCATCGGCGGCCACTTCTTTCCGTGGTCATTGATGCACAGAATCCTTTTGTATTTCGAAAGAAATTTATACCTCATTGATCGTAGAACAGCACCAATGATTTACGACATATGACCGCCTGAAAGTGGTCGTAAGACGCCATTAATTTTATTGAGTCCGGCCTGCATTTGAATTTATGGTAATAGCCTCAGATACAATTCAGTACACTTCTCAACAATATTGTAATTCTTAAACACAATATACGTTTACGGAAATGTTTTTACAAGTTTATTAAACATACGCCTTCGCGCCTTCGCAAATGTTTTTATAAATCTTATAGCATAAGCAGTATGCCATAGCTATAAATTATTAGCCAATTTTCTCCTTGCTGTCTATTTTTTGTCCAGAAAATTACACAGCAGCGTAACTCTTATTTTGCATTTTTTCACCTAAACACCCAAAGAATACAAGGCGGAAGCTTTTTACCTGGTGTGCGCAAGTCGAGTTGATATGAAACTCCAAGTGACAGCTAACTATATTAATTGGGCAAGCAAAAAGAAGTTAATTTTTGCGTTTATTCGTCTATTTGAAAGCGCGAGTGTTCGAGGACTACTCTGGTATTATTTCACAGTTTCATGGGAATGGGAGCCTTCTAGACTACTCAACCAACGAAATTGGCATACTTCATTAATGAAAGGAAGTAATTTCTAGACAATTCATGCAAACTTTGCATTGCAAAGTGCAAACATATTTCATTTTTGACCTTAGTTTAGGTAACATAGCTATATTTAAGCTCATGCTGGTTTGGGGGGTCAGTTGAGCTCCATGATCTTCTCAGCCGCACAACACAACCGAATTTGAAAAAGAAAGAAAGATTATCCTTGAAACGTTTCAGGTTGCTGCATTCATGCAGTAGGAATAAATAGAAATTTTAATACAATATCTCTATCCGGAATTTGTTTTCTCTTTCATTTTATACTGTTGTAGAAGGGAAGGAATTTCCGGCGTAATTTAGAAGTTCTCATGTAAAAGTACTACAGCATTTGCATGTCATTTAGAGAAATTAGAAGAACATTAAAATGATTGGTATTTCAATACCGCTGAAAGAACTACAACAGCACTGATTGAAAATCAATTGTATTAGTGCGAAAGTTCAACAACAACGCCTTATTATATATTCCGTAAAGTGAATATCAATAGAACAAAACGAAGAACAATTGCGTTAACTTATTGATCATTAACATTTTCGGAACAACAACAGCAATAAATCAAACGGCATTTAGCGTAAAGAAATACTCATTTACACAAAGTTCTCTCATCTGCGTTCTAATATGTATACATAATTTACAAACAAAAGATAGCTATAAAGGCACAGATGAGAAGACGTTGCTCACTTCAAAACGTTGAATTTCAAAAACAAATTTTGATAGCAGCTGCTGGACGGAATGTGCACTTTCTAACCATTGCGAAATGTACACAGCATGGGGCAGACTTATGCATGCAGACATACTTGAAAGAGAACACATCTAGGGGATAAAACATACTGCACATATATTGCTGTTGTGTGAACAGACAAATATGATAAAATGAGAATTCTAATATTTACTTTGTACACCTTTACATTAATGAATATTTCTCTCTGCTAAATGTCGTTTGATTTATTGCTAGTGTTGTTGCGAAAATGTTAATGATCAATAAGTTAACGCAATTGTTCTTCGTTTCGTTCTGTTGATTTTCACTTTACGGAATAAATAATAAGGCCATGTTGTTGAACTTCCGCACTAACAGAATTGATGTTAAATCAGCGCTATTGTAGTTCTTTCAGCGCTATTGAAATACCAATCATTTTAATGTTCTTCTCTTTTCTTTAAATGACATGCAAATGCTGTATTATTTGCTCGCTTTCAAAGATTGGATACATGTATATTTTCTTCGCGATCTACACATAATAAATCTAATAATAATTTTGTTTAGAGCCGAAAAAAGAAGTGGTTTCAATCTATCTTGAAAACTTTACGACACCGGGATCCAGATATCCATATTTTATCGAAGTTTACCGATGCGTTGATATTGAAATTCTGAAATGCCATGACAAATATCCTGTTCCAAAAACGATGACAAAAATCGAAGTAGTAGTGCCCGATCCTACAAATAACGAGCGGGATCCTAGTGGCACGAAAAAGTTTTACAAATATACAATATTTAATCATACGTCTTGTAAATGTGGACGTCTCGCCGAAAGGAAACTTTATCACGTGTCATTTAACAACCGTGGTGAGTATCCATGGTTTAATAACTATTTATATATATATATATATATATATAAATATATAATATATATATATATATATAATAATATATTATATATATAATATATATATATATATTTATACATGGATCTAGGAAAGGTTGTCCGAAAATATATACATATATACAAATAGTTGTGACATGTGACCACATATTTCCATCACGTGTCATATCTAATTACACATGCAAACGCTGCAAAATTGCTTCAAGGTTATTGCTTAGTTGGGATATTTTTGTTGTAAAATGCCTAAGCCGTATTCAGACGATATAAGATGGGGGATTGTGTGGCAGAAATTCTTTTATAACAGGTCTTCAACCAGAGTTGCTGTCGATTTGTTTGTTTCGCCAAGGACAGTAGATCGCGTTTTCAACCTGTTTATTAATACTTGTAACGTTACGTCGCCCCATAAGTTTGGCAGGCCTCTTTGTAGCACAACACTTTACCAGCATGAGGAACTGGCAATATATGAAATAATTCTCAGACATCCAGAGCTATACCTTAGGGAAATCGCCGATCAATTAGAAAACGCTGACATTCGGTGATAAACGGGTCTCAGATAAAATAAATGAAGGTATATTTTACAAATAGCCTGTTGTCACATTGTTTACACTTTGCCAGCTATGGATTTAATGAAGCGTTCGCAGCGTTTGCATGCGTAATTAAGTGCGACACGTGACGGAAATATGTGGTCACATGTCACAACTATTTGCATATATGTATATATTTTCGGACAACTTTTCCTAGATCCACTATATATATATATATATATATATATATATATAAATATATATATATATATAATATATATATATATATATATATAATATATATAAATATATAAATATATAATATAATATATATTTATGTCATTTTATATAATATATATATATATATATATATATAAATTATATATAATATATATATATAATATATACACCCATTTGCAAAAACGTTGGCCGCAGATAGATATATAGATAGATACTCGAAATCTAATTAGAATTGCATATGTTGTGTAATATATATAAATATATATATATATATATATATATATATATATATATATTATTTATTTCTGTCATTTATATATATATATATATATATAATATATATATATATATATAATATATATATATATAATCTTGGATTTGTGCGTAGTAAACCAGAGTGCTCAATACAAGTAAATAGTAGAGCAAAAACACAAACAAATCAACAAAATATAATCATAAAATTGTATTTCATCGCTACACTGTGTTTCACGTACTAGTTTTAGTACGATCCTCAAAAACGCGTGTGCGTAAACCGTTGTAAATAGTTATCGCCTGAGGATCGTACTAAAACTAGTACGTGAAACACAGTGTAGCGATGAAATACAATTTATGATTATATTTGTTGATTTGTTTGTGTTATATATATATATATAATATAATATATATATATATATATATATATATATATACACCCATTTGCAAAAACGTTGGCCGCAGATAGATATATAGATAGATACTCGAAATCTAATTAGAATTGCATATGTTGTGTAATATTATAGAAATCCCATACAAATGTAATCATATGCAATTCTAATTAGACTTCGAGTATCTATCTATCTATCTATCTGCGGCCAACGTTTTTGCAAATGGGTGTATATATATGTATATATATATATATATATATATATATATATATATATATATATATATATGTGTGTGTTTCGGTATATCCTTCTGATTTTAATTTGAAAATCTACTTACAGTGTCAGAGGAATATTTCCTGCAAAAATATAAAGTAAATCCAATGAACCTGCTAAATCAATGCGATTATTGTAACACAACAAGAGAAAGATTTAAACGCCTTCCAGGAAGATTTCTTAAAAAATATCTCCCGTATGAACAATGCTTGCCTGGTTGCGTGGTGAAGGAAAAAAAAACAAAATCTGTGGAATTAGAAACGGGATCTGGTGAAACTGAGAATTTTCTGCTGACGAGTGATACCAAGTGCGAGGCATTCGATAACAGAGTGATACATTCCAGCAGATAGATAGATAGATAGATAGCCTTTATTTGAATACGACCCCACAAGGGTCGTATTGCTCCTAGTTATCTAAATCTAAAATCGATTAAACCGAAAATCCTAAGTTTAATAAACATAAATATTACTAAATATATACAAAATCACTGTTTTTGAAGTTAATAGTAGAAACGGACACAACGGAAAAATTAAAGCTCTTGAAGGTGTCCAGTAAACAAAGTTTGTGTTCGAGATCTTTAAATTGTGTAGACACCAATGACTGGCCGTTTGTGGTCATGGTGATCCACAAAACTGGTCCTCTATATGCTACTGAGTTATGCATAAAACGCCGAGTATTAAAACGCGGAATCGACAACGAATCCGATGCTCTGAATGAGTATTTACTATGTCTTTTGTTCATGATAGTATCACAAAGACCAGCTGGTAATTTCTGGTGAAATGCTTTGAGCAAAATTTTAAATAAGTTTGTCTTGTAAATAGAGTGGAGTGAAGGCCATTTTGCATTTTCGGCTGCTTTCAGAGGGCGAGTTTCCTTGGGAAGATTGAATATGATTTTGGCTGCCCTGCCATGAAGCCTTTCCAAAGAGTTGAAATTGCCTGAGTTGTTACAACTTCCCCACAGCATTATTCCATAATTAACTGAAGGTAAAATTACCTTAAAGTAAAATTGCTTCAGGACCTCTCTGGGCAAGAATCTTGAACTCTTCAACAAACCTAACTTATTTACAAATTTCCTTTTAAGCTCCAGGGTATGAGGTACCCAACTTATCTTATCGTCGATAGTCATACCAAGTAGTCTTGATTCTTTAATTAACCCATTTGAGAACTGAGTTGCCTAAGTATAATGGGAGGAGTGGATAGGTGTAATCAAAATTGCTCTTGTGATCAACATTGCTTCACTTTTCCTTAGATGTGGTGTAAGCTTGTTATGTGTGCACCATTCATATACCTCTTGAAGTGCCATGTTCAAGTTTTGAACCGCATTGTCAACGCTTTGACCGATGCTGAAAACCGTAGTATCGTCTGCATACATGAATACTTCACCAAATTTCACAGCAGATGGTAGATCATTGATAAATAAGGTAAAAAGTGTTGGTCCTAATACGGATCCTTGAAGAATTCCAAATATAACCAGGAGTTTTTCTGAGTTATCTCCGTTAATAATCGTAAATTGTAGTGTACCATGTAGGTAGTTCTTTAGCCAATTTAGAAATTTACCAGAGATACCAAAATCATGTTCGAGTTTTCTTATTAGAAGCGTGTGAGAAACACTGTCAAAGTCAATAAACGCCACAGCTACAGAAATTCCCGAATCTACAGCCTTTCCCCACTTTTCCGTCAGTTGTAACAATAATAGTTCAGTGGAGTAACCTGCACGGTACGCCCACTGTCTATCTGATACCAAATTGTTCCTCTAAAAAACATGATCTACGAGATTATCATTTGCCTCGGATTCTAAGATTTTACTGGGAACGCTTAATAGTGAGATTGGCCTATAATTTTCTCTGTTCGTATCATCCCCTTTTTTAAAAACAAGTGTCAATTTTGCCAATTTCACTCTGAATGCACGGTTTCGCTTTCAATGCTATGTTGATAAAGACGCACAAGCGGTGATACAACTGCATCACCAGCGAGCTTCAGTATAGTTTTGGATGTATGTTGTCGGGACCTAAAGACTTTTTGGCATTGAGTGTATTAATTTTGTGTTTTATTTGGCCTCTGAAACGCAAAAATCTGAGACTTTGGGAACAACCTTCGTTTCCGAAACATTATGTCTCATGGCAGTCAACGGCGGTAGCTCATTAGCTAGTTTCTCGCCAACAATTGCAAAATACGAATTCATCTCTTCGTCTCTTCTCAGTGGCCCAATGTTCTTACGAACTTTGAGATTTGTGGCTTTTGTTATCAGGTTCCAGTAGGCGGCTGTGGTTTTTACTTCGTTGAACATTTTTGCATAATAATCAGTCTTTGTACTCACGAAAAATTCATCATAATCTACCACCCTGAACTTCAATGCTCCCTGAATTCAAGAAGCGAACTTTTATCAAAATGCAGACATAGAAATCAATTTCTCGATTTAACCTAATACAATACGTATATGAATATATGCAATCCGTTTTTCGTCAAACATGTAAATATATAGTATATATATATATATATATATATATATATATATATATATATATATATATATATATATATATATATATATATATATATATATAACCATGGCAACTATATATCGCGCCTTTTAAATTCACCTGATGAGTGTGTCAAGCACTGCTTGTTATACGAAACAAATTTGTATAGTACATAAAATCATATTTATTGTATTTTATATCGTCTTATTATCTTGTGTTTTGGCGCGAAATATACTAGTATTTGAAATGTGTATGTGACCGTATTTACCGATTTCGCTCGCATGATACGGCAATTCCTCCAAGAGGAACAAATAAACCATTATTTTGATGCTGTTCGATTAAGTTTAGATTTAATTGGGGTCAGAATATATTTAATACATACAGCCTTAGTTGATATTTTTTTATCCCTGACTACATAATACAAACTTTGAACTGTCGTTTTGCGCATTATTATAATTGATAACTATAATTGTATGATCGCGCCGAGCATGTATACTTGATGAGTTTATACCTACTGGCTTTCGGTTTACTGCTAGCGGTTGCTGCTTTCAGTTTTCTGTTAATTCTGGACATTTCAGCTACATGATGTTGTTCCACTGATTTTAATTATTCCGAATGATATCGATATCGATGATATCGATTTCTGAACAACTTCTGCTATATCTCCTTCGGCTTCGGCTTTACTGCGCTGTCTCTCGTCACGGCCTTTTTAGTCACAGTTTATTAAAAGTCCCTAATTTTTTCTCCAAGGCTTTGATACCAATCGCTTAAATTACTACAAGCTTTTGCTTCGTTTCACAAAATAATTTCAACGTATATTCTTACTTGTCTGCTTGTTTACTTTCCTGACAGTCCAGTATTGACCTTCTATGCCCACGCCGTTTTGTGTAAACAGTTTGAAACTTTCGAGTAACTGAGTAAGCTATTATATTTCCTGTTGGATGCAAAACAAATGGTTAAAAACACAAGGCAGAATTCTAATATTTTATCATTTATTAGACTATATGTATATTTAATTTCTGCCTTTCGAATTTATTGCGATGCGAAACTAAAAGGTAAGAAGGACGAATCTTTATTAGGTCATGGTCCGTGGGTGCATGAACGAACAGTTTGTTTACATTGTGAACCTTTGTACATATTTAATTACGTGTGCTGAATTTACGCAATTTTAACATCAGAGGACCCTCAAATGAGCAAAACCAATACGCTGAGCCCTCTTAATGTTTCAATAAATTGTAGAGTTACGTTTAGCATATTGTCCAACATTCTCATGGCAAATACGATTTAGAGTTAATGTAAATCTTCGCATGAACGCTATACAATCGGTAAACGAAAGACGGGGGCGTTCTAAACCGTCTTTCTGTGCGCGGTATAGGATCCTTTCGACCAACTGGTGTAGCGAACGTACATACTAGGTTATAGGGAAAAAGCGCCAACCAATTTATCGTGTTTGGATGGAGTGGGTGTTTAAAAGACTGACTAGCTATATATTGACGCATTGTTAGCCGACAACCTGGAGAGCATAGCGATAGAGAAAATATCATCAGTGAGATTAAAGCCTAAATTTATCTTTATCTTCTATTATAATTCTCCTCGGTTTTGTTTTGGTTTTGTTTTTGTTTTTATTTTTCGTCGTCGCAAGTGCGCTTTGGCGCGAAATATACTAGTATTTAACGTGTGTGTGACCGTATTTATCTACGTCACAGTCTTGTCTCTAAGGGTCTGTTTACATGGAGCCGAGTTACCCGGGTAACCGAGTTACTCGCCTTGCCGGGACAAAACGGTATTGTGTTCATATGGAACCGGGTAACTCGGTATTTGTTACGGTACATTGTAATTACATGACGTACTTACTATGTAGGGCGCAAAATTTCAAAACGTTTTTTACAATGGTGGTAAATGAAACGTAAACACGCATGCGTGTTTGGCGAATATTCTACTCGCCTAGCCGAGTTTCCCGTTGCAAAGTGTTTACATGGTATAACCAATTAACTCGCCTTGCCGAGAACCCGGCACAGTTTGCCGAGAACTGGGCACGCCGAGTTACTCGGATGCGCCATATAAACAGTCAACCGAGATATCCATACAATATATAGAACAGGCGAGAACTCGGTGCTGCCGAGTAACTCGGTTAGCCGGGTAACTCGGCTCCATGTAAACAGGCCCTAAAGAGTTGTGGTGCACAGCTTTAGCTAATTTTCCGATGCGCGATTCGATTTCGCATGATACGGCAATTCCTCCAAGAGGAACAAATAAACGGTTCTTTTGATGCTGTTCGATTAAGTTTAGATTTAATTAGGGTAAGAATATATTTAATACATGTAGATTCTGGTCCTATTTTAATAATATCGGTGCTATTTCGCCGTTTAACAAGGTGTGGTCGTGTATGGGCGCGTTGACACGTCGCAGTTTGCACAGGATTGAAAATTTAATATAACTAACAATGCGGTTTATTTACATAGTTTTGAACAATTGAACTTCTATACTTTTTAAAGTACGATGTGCTTCTGAATTTCGCGATCGAATAACGTTTAGGTTGGCAACGCATCTAAATGAGTATAAACTGTATTGTTTATGTTCAAAAGCTTTATATTGAAGACTGCCACGTGCTCGGCACACCGGAGTTAACGCTAGAACAGGCGTCTTGTTATATTTGAAACGCAAAGTGAACTGCCTTTATCAAACATGCATGCAAGACTAGAAACGTTGCATGGGACGAATGATTAGATATTCGTCCCCCTCCCTCGAAAAACTGTTTGGAGGTGTCGCTTCATCACATTATATATATATATATATATATATATATATATATATATATTATATATATAATAATATATTAATATATATATATAATATATATATATATAT